TTAGGGTGAGAGTGGGGCTTAGCATGCTGGCCATCTAGCTTCAGGCCCATACCCTAAACCATCCACCTGGACCCCGTTTAACCTAGTATGTGCTGACCCGGAGGCCGTTTATAGAGAAAGCAGGATGACATGGTACCCTGGCCATGAAGCCACAGCAAGCAGGACCCAAAGGCTCTGAGCCTGAGCATCCACTGCGCGACAAGCAGGGCAGCCATCCTCAACTACCCTGCACATCCGCCTCACCGCACAGACCCAGGATCCGGGCAAGGAGGGGAGGGGGAGGGCCCAGGGGACATAATCTGGTTCCAAATCAAAGCCCTCCTTCAGCACAACTCTCCAAGAATGAAGGCAGCTGCTGCCTGGCACCCTGGGCCGGGCCACAGAGCCCAACTGCCATCTGGAAGTGATTTGGCCCAGAGATTCCTGAACAGGGTGGAAGGCTGGAATGACCAGCCGCCCCGTGCTCCAGTCCAGGTCTCAGAAACAAAGCCGGTATGAATGGGCCCCAGAGGCGGCCGTAACATAACCAGGGGCCCTCCCCTTCCAACGAGGCCAGTCCACAGCCCTATTATAGCAAAGCAGCAGCGACACGAGCCAACGGAGCTGGTCTCCCCAGTGCGGCACCGATTTTAAACGTCCTCTCACTGTGTAAACCCTCCAGCAATGAATTCTGAGACTACTACTGGACGGCACTGTATTTATTTAGTAAACACTCACACAGCACTTACTATGTGCCACAAACTTTGCCAAACATTTTTAAAAATATTAAGTTCTTTAATTTTTATAACCACCTTTGAAAGGAGGTAGTTATCACCCCCATTTTAGTGAGAAGGAAAGCAAGGCGCAGAAGCTTCTTAATGGCTACTTAGTGGCAAGTGGGATTTGAACCAAGAATCTTTGCTCTGAACTACTACAAGAGCCCCATCTCATTCTGTGTTACTTTGTTGCAAATGGCCCAGACCTTGTTAATTCTGAGGTCGCTTGCCACTTTGCTACTTTTAAAACATTGTCTACTACCTTTGCCTAAAAGACTCACTGGCATTTGCTAGGTAGTTCAGGAAAGAACTGGATTTAGGATTACGGTATTGGTATGTGATTTTGGTATGGGCGGGACAACAGGAAGGAAAAGGGGCTGAGTCCCGTGGTGACCCACCACCCTGGAAACCCTGCCCAGTGACCCAAGGTCTTGGGAACACACACCCACACCCACCCGCCTGCTCTGGGGCCCTGGCCTGGCAGAGGCACCTTAAGTAAACATTAGGGTCAGACCGCATCCTCTGAAAAGGAAAGAATTCCTTTTTCTAAAGGATCAAACCAAAACACACCACCCAAACGTCTAGGCAGACTTGATTGTCATTCTTGGGCTGGGAGACCCCTTTCTCTCCAAGTTGGCCGAGCTGCCCAGTGTCAAAAAGGTTTTTGGAAAAACAAGTAAATAAAACTGCCAACTCCTGGCAGGCAACTAGGATTAAAAATGCTGGGGCCTCGCTCTGAACGCCCAAGACAGAACAAGAAACTGAAGAAACTCTTCAACGCTTGGATGCAGCCTAGAATGGGCCCACCTTACAACAACTCACAAATGTGAATCCACAGCCAGAACTGTCTTTCAGTGACTTCTAGGCAGAAAAGCCCGTCCTCTGGCAGCTTCTGGCCATCTCCTGTCTCAGAGCTGGGCGCCGGTACACAACTCTTTCTGATTTCAGTAATGTGCATTGTTGGAAGTTATCCAAAGTCCACAAAACGCTGTATTCATTCAAAGATACCTTCCCAGATTCTGGAGTAGAACACCATCCAATAAGTAGCAGGAAATACCACCTCCCCCCCTCCCCCAACCAGTGAGCACAGGGCAGCCATTCCCTCAACAAGCTGACCTTGATGCAAGATGCAAACCGATTCTGCTCACCTCCTGACATGACGCTCATCTCAGGAGACCCTCATCCTGTCACTCACCTAAAGTCTGGAGATTGCCCAAGACCAGAGGCTCAAAGTGTGGGTGTCCAGCTGCCACCTCAACATCCCAGACTTGCAAAACTGGCTGTTAACAGGGGCTCCCTGGTTAGGGGAGAGGGGCTGTGTTTTACTCATTTCTGCCACTGAAAAGCAGGTCCGTTAAGGGTCAATTTCACAACAGGACAGGCCTGGCCTTCAGTCACCACTTACTAACTGGGTGACCTCTGCAAGTTATTTCACTCCTGTTTCCTCATCTTTCAGTGGGTATCATAATACTAACAACCACCACAGAAATAACAGCAACCATGTTCTAAGCACTTGGGCAGAACTAGGGCAAGCCCTTTACCCTCCCCAGTGACTTGCTGAAGCAGATCGTTGTGTAGACAAGAAAACCAAATCTTGAGGATTCAACGTGGTGATCAATGGGATGATGAACAGAACACGCTGAACACCAAACTACAGCCAGTGTCTTTGCCAGCACAAGGCAACCCGGCTGGAATACGTGAACTGAAGTCCGAGCTGCATGTGACTTCCCCCCAGGGGCAGGGGGAAGAGGCCTCAGGCATCACCCCCACAGGAGTTCTGGCCCTCAGGCAAGTCTCCCTCCAGGCTCTAGAGGTTGGAAAACCTGTTTACAGCGAGATGTTTCCAGAGAGCAACAAGACAGCCAATGACAGGAGTCATAAATGTGGCCACACTCTTTGACCCAGGCATGCCACTTTGGGGAGTATCATCCAAGAAATCATTTAAAAGGAGAAAATAAAATAAAACAATGCAGCCTGTGGTGGGAAGAGGTCCACAGCAAAAAGTTGCCAATAGCCCACAGGGCCAAAACCAGAGAAGGGGAGGCTAAGCCCTGGAATGTCAGGACAATGGAAGATGCTATGGCCTGGGTGAGTTCAGGAATGAAAACCATGAGGGTTGAGTAGAAAGATGGGACCAGACGAAGTCTAGAATGAGGCCCCCAAGTTCAGGGCACTGATGGGAAACCATGCTTCAAGCAGCTGCAGCTTCTGTAAACAGTTGGTAAATTAGGCAGTCCCGGATTGTCTGGTGCTGTGGAGAAAGTCCCAGCAGCCACACCCACCCCCCTTTCTTCCTATCACAGAAGTCACCTAAGGCCTGGTTTTCTCAGGAAGAGACCCCAGACCCAGGCATGGGTCAGCTCCTCCCGCAAGACGCTCCCCTGGCAGAACACACACACACACACACACACACACACACAATGTAGATGCACACACTTTCTCTGCACACCCATGCCGTGTACACATTACATGCTCTATACATATATGCTGTGTATACATACATATTCTACACACATACAAGTGCACACACACACACTATACACCCCTCGCCCCTACTGTCACAGCCCACACCCTCAGCAGCCATGTGACCCTCCTGGAAACTTTCAATTAGCCCAGGTCATAGTGGGGACCTGACCCTCATTCTCTCTCCCAGCTCTGGGGAGAGGAACCCAACACCAACTCCCTCCCTCTCTCAGGAAGACCCTGGTGTGGGGAAAGCAAGGAGAGGAATGCAAAGTCTCCTTTCATTGTACCCACTTCCTTCAATTCTCAGCTAGACCCTTCCTACTTCCATGACCTTGGGCACGTCAATTAACCCTCTGGACCCCCTCTGCCTGTAAAATAGGTCTAAGGACACCCCAACTGGCGGGATGTGTAAGGACTGAGAACCTGGAAGGCTGTTGGCACACAGCGCGCACTAGTGTGGGCTCTCTACAAAACAGTACTTTCTATACCACCACTGCCCCTAAATGGTCACTTCTACTCAGAGCTGGCTCACCCCGAGGCACCCGGCCAGAGCTGAGCTGGGAGCGGAGGGAGCGAGGAGGACACACCCCCACGACTCCCCTCCCCACTTCGGGGCCCACACTCAAGCCCGAGACGGCAGGGGAGGGTACCAGGTGCCCGTTCCCACCTGGGCGGCGAGGCCCCAGGGTCCCAGAGCATTCCCTCCCCAGGTCTCCCGCAGGGCGTCCGAGCCAACGCCCGTTCGTCGGACGCTGGGCGCATCGGCGTGGGCGCAGCGGGGCTAACGCTTCGGGGAGCATCTGACCATGGAACCCCACTTCCATGGACCGCGGACCAGAGGTTTCCAGCACCCCGCAGAGGCACCCCGGGTGCGGCGAAATGCCACAGCCCCACCTCTCCCCGTGCAGCCCCAACCCAAGCCCAGGACCCACAGCCCCCCAAGGACGCATGGCGAGGCGCCGGGCGGGAAGCTATCGTACTAAGTCCTAGCCCAGGAAAAAGCACCGGGAAGGGGGCCTAGGTCTCCGGCGTCCCCACCCCCCTGGAGGACAACGCCCCCCGCCTCAGCGCCCACACCCAGCCCTCAGCTCCTGGGCGCTCTAGGGGCGCGCGGCAGGGGGCCCTAGCCTTCCCCCCCCGCCCCCCCGCCCCCGGCGCACGCGCGGGGACCGGAGGTTACACCGCGGCGCCTGGCCGAGCCAGGGCACTCACCGATGGACACGAGCTTGATGCTCTCACGGTCCAGAAACTCGAGCGCCACGGACACGTTCTCCAGCTGCATCTGGCGGAAGGTGGGCCGCTGGTGGTACTTGCGGTACATGCGCTTCTGGCTGAGCACCTCGAGCAGCGCGATGAGCCGCAATCCATCGCTCAGGTCGGTCTGCAGGTTCCCAATGCGTTTGTTCACGCACTTGAGGTGCTCGTTGCACCAACGCGTGAAGGTGTTCTGCTGGATCTTCTTCCACGGCGCGTCCTCCGCCAGGTCCTTCTCGGTTACCGGCATTCTGGCGGCAGGAGAGCGTAATGCGCAGCGACTGCCGGGGACTGGCGTAGGGAGGCCCAAGGGCCCGGGTAGCGAGAACCAAAGCGGAGCGGGAGCGGGGCTCGAACTCGGTGCTTCTGGAGCCGCGACCCGGACTGCTCTGCGGCCGCCTGCCCGTGGCCGCGCGAGGCGTCTGGACCGGCGCCTGCGCACTGAGCCGACCCGCCCTCGAGGCCCCGCCCCGTCCCAGCCCTTCGGCGGGAGTTCCCGAGCCACGCTCGCCCCCTGCGGTCCGAAGCGTGCACTGCACCCGCGGCCTCCAAAGCGTCCCGGGACCTCGCGCTCTGTGCTCTCCACCTAGGCGAAAGGAAGCCAGTGGGGAGACTTCGGCTTAAGGATCAGATCATGGTCCAGGTCCCGGTTCCGGTCCCGGAATAGGGTACGTGCAGAGGTAGGACAGGATGGACAGGGGCGGTGGCGGCGAGGGAAAGGGGGGGAGTTCCACCTATAGGTTCAGTGGCTCCTGCTTTGTAGCCAGGCACGGTGTTAGGCAGTGGAGGACACCGTGAAGGAATGGACATTTTACTCTTCGTATTAATTAAACTCATGTGAATTACACTATTATCATTCGAAGCACTTACTGAGTGCCTACTGTGTGCGAGGCCCTCTTAGCACCTAAGAACTAATATAAATAAGACAATTATTCCTAGACCTTGAGGAATTGCTAGAGTAATGGGAGAGAAAAATACAGTTCAGCTATCACAAACAGCTTGGGAGCAGTAATAGAAATGAACAATGGGGCACCCGGCTGGCTCCGTCAGTAGGGCACGCGACCCTTGATCTCGGGGTTGTGAGTTCGAGCCCCATATTGGGTGTAGAGATTACTTAAAAATAAAAGCTTTTAAAAAACCAAAACAATAATTTGCACAATGTATATCAGTTTCCCAGTGCTGCTGTAACAAATTACCAAAACTTTGCCTTTAAAAAAATCACAAATTTGGGGCTCCTGGGTGGCTCAGTCGGTTAAGCGGCTGCCTTCGGCTCAGGTCATGATCCTCCCAGGGTCCTGGGATCGAGCCCCACACTGGGCTCCTTGCTCAGCAGGAAGCCTGCTTCTCCCTCTCCCTCTGTCTGCCTGCCGCTTCCCCTGCTTATGTTCTCTCTCTCACTATCTGTCTCTGTGTCCAATAAAAATAAATAAAATCTTTTTTAAAAAATCACAAATTTATTATCTTGCCGTTCTATAGCTTAGATGTCCCTCATGGGTTTCACTGAGCTAAACTCATGGTGTTGGCAGGATGCATTCCTTTCTGCAGGTCTAGGGAAGAATCCATTTCCTTGCCTTTTCCAACTTCTAGAAACTTCCCACATTTCTCGGCTGTGGCCTCTTCCTCCATCTTCAAAGCCAGTAACATCAGGCTGAGTCTTTCTCACTCTGTCATCTCTCTTGTTCTCTATAGTCACATCTTCGTACATCTTCCTCTTTTTTTTGTTGTTGTAGGCTCCACACCCAGCATGGAGCCCGACTTAGGGCTTGAACTCACCACCCTGAGATCAAGACCTGAGCTGAGATCAAAAGTCAGATGCTTAACCAACTGAGCCACCCAGGTACTCCTTCCTCTAATTCTTTTAAGGACCCTTGTGATTCCATCTGGCCCAGTTGGTTAATCCAGGGTATTTTTAAAACAATTGATTAGCAATCTTAATCCCATCTGCAACTTTAATTCTCCTTTGCCATGTAATTATAATATTGGCAAGTTCTGGAAATTAGGATTTGAACATCTTTAGGGACTGTTATGCTGCCTACCCATACCATATATTGAGTACGTGCTGTGTACTCGTCTAAGCCCTCTGCTAGGTGCTGGGATATGGCAGAAACCCAGGCCAGTCCTCTTCTGGCAAGAGCTGAGTAATTATAAAAGTAGCAGCTAGCATTTCCTAAGTACCTGCTCTGTCCCTGTGGCAAGAGCTTTGCTAAGCAGTTCTTTTGCTATTGGCCCAGTTTGACAAGAGTTAACTGAGAGGTGAAGCGACTTGCCCAAGGCACACAGTATAGACAGAACTGGAATCCAGGTGTGTATGAGCACAGAGTGTCCTGGGCCCAAGAAGCGACACATAACCTAGGCTTAGAGACAGGGAGTCTTCCTGGGGGGGAGGAGTTGGACAGGATGGAGTCAAGGGCTTCCAGCCTGATGGTTGCTCAGGAGAAGCCAGCAGATTTGTGGTTGTAACATTTATACAAAGGGGTCATTTGCATACAACACTGAAGTGTTTTTTCAGACAGATTGCCTCACTTATTGGAAACGCTCCAAACAGCCTGGGGTAGGGGTGGAGGGTAGGGGGAGAGTGTATTACCTGGCCCTGGCCCATAATAGGCAGGCAATAACTACTTGAAGAATCATTCCACTCCTTAGTGATTAAGTGAAGACATTTGCTAGAGGTCAGCTGGTAAGGACTAGACAAAGCTGGACTTGAACCTGGTTCTAACTCCACCGTCTGCGCTATGTGTAAGGGCCCCCTGAGAACCCTGTTCTCAGCCTGGGTTTTGCCTTTGTCCACACCATCTGAGCTGCAGATTCACTAGAGCCAGTGTTGGTAACCTTTGCCTCCCCCATGCCCAAGGCTCCTGGTTCCTCAGGCTTTCTCCACCCAAACTCATCCATCACAACTTATCAGCCTGTGTCTCACTCCCTGAGGGTCCTCCTCCCTGCCAGGTAAGACTGGAGCTAACTGCTCCCTTTCTTATGTAATTGTTTTCACCAGGTCTTGACACAAATAACGAAATCTGCATGTAAATATCCAGCGCACTTCACCCGGAGCTGAGACATCCCATTTTAGGACAAGTCCAGTGATTATCTCCACCCAGTCAGAAGAAACCTGAGAGTTTTCCAGGGAGCGATTCATGGGGGGTGAAGGGGACTCAGCAATCACCATGGAGGTGGGCAGCCAGGGGCTTCAGAAACAAGGAGAGGAAGCAGATGAGGTCTTCAGATGACTTCTTCTCAATATTTGATAAAGGATGAGGGTTGAACAACTCAGGTAGGCATTTCTGCAAGTGGCATCTTAACCAACACATTCCACAGTTTTGCCTGGCAAGGCCTTCACTTAATAAATACCCACTCTCTGTTTTCTAAATTCTGTCCTGGGCTTCTCTAATCTCTTAGAAGAACTGCCCAGAGTGGAAGAGCTCAAGGACATGAGAAGCCCAGGCTTTGGGGGTGAATTTTGGCTGTTTTGGCTGTGCGATCTTGAACAAATAACCTATGCCAGCTTCAGGCTTCTCGTCTAGGTAATAATGGGGATAGCACACCTCTTCCTAGGGTTTTTAGATAACACAAGCAAAACTAGCATAGTGCCTGGCCCCACAAGAAGCATTTTATAAATGTAACTGGAAACCAGGCAAAATGAACAAACTTCCCAACCAGTCCCTGAGAAATCTGGAACAAGCTGCATTTTCCCTAGCAGACTCTAGTCTGTGTCTGGAAGGAGCCATGGCTCCCCTCCATGTCTCTTACTCACAGATGTTGACAGCAATCTGCCGCATCCCTGAGAGATCTCAGTAAGAATCAACTGACTGAGCAAACACAGGCAGAGCAGTAGCCCCTACGGGTCAGCGTGGATATGGCTGGATGGCAGCAGGTGCACAGACATCCACGAGGAAGAGATTAGCTGAACGTTGAGCATGAACACTGAGTGGAAGGTTGAAGCGCCGTGAGCCTACTTCTCAAAGTCATATGAGTTGCCAAATCAGTGGGATTGGAAGGGGTTCTTCTTTCCAAGCAACTGTGAGGAAGTTCGCCTGATCACCTCCATGCCTTTGCTCAGACTGTTCCCTCGGTCTAGAATGTCTTCGTCTCTCCTCTCCAACTTGGGAACCCCATGCCCAGCCTTCAGTCCCCTCACTTTCACAGCCTATGCGGTCACACCACTGATGTTATGCTAAGGTTTCATTGCCGTGTTCTGTGCCAGTTGCTGAAGGAGGGCACCTGTCACCTCCATCCCCTGGCAGGGTGTAGCCGGGGGTTTAAGACCTAATAGAGTCTGTACAGTCCAATGAAAATATAATGAGAGCCACATTATGATTTTTAATTTTCTAGTAATGCTTAACAGTTACTAATTAAATGTCACTTAAAAAGAAACAGGTGAAATTATTTACAATAATGTATTTTAACCAATAATAAGATGACCAACTGTCCTGGTTTGCCCAGGACTAAGGGGTTCTCTGGGCTGCAGGCCTTTCATTTCAGTACTGAAACCAGGAATGTCTGTGCCAAACCAGAACAAGTTGGTCATCTTACCCAGTATATCCAAAAAGTTACAACTTCAACATACAATCAAGATGTTTAAGTATATACATATTTATATATATGTATGTATATTTACACATATATACATATTATATATATATTACTATCTTTAAAATCTGACATGTATTTTGTACTTACAGCATGTCTTTTTTTTTTAAGATTTATTTATTTTAGAGAGAGAGAATGAGAGAGAACGGGAGGGGGAGAGGGAGAGGGAGAGAGAAAATCTCAAGCAGACACCCCGCTGAGCACAGAGCCTGGCATGGAGCCTGATCCCACGACCCTGAGATCATGACCTGAGCTGAAACCAAGAGTCAGATGCTCAACTGACCATGCCACCTAGGTGCCCCACTTACGCCATGTCTTAATTCAGACTTGGCACATTGCCAGTGCTCAATAGCTGCCTTTGGCTACTGGGAGTTATCATATTGGACAAGGCAGATATAGGGAGATACTTGATATTGAAATAAACCAGTTAATAAACTGGAGACCCGGGAGCCTGGGTGGCTCAGTCGTTAAGCGTCTGCCTTCGGCTCAGGTCATGATTCCAGGTCCTGGGATCGAGCCCCGCATTGGGCTCCCTGCTACGCGGGAAGTCTGCTTCTCCCTCTCCCACTCCCCCTGCTTGTGTTCCCTCTCTCGCTGTGTCTCTCTCTCTGTCAAATAAATAAATAAAATCTCTAAAAAAAAAAAGCTGGAGACCCATAACGCTCTCACCAGGGTACGAACCTTAGGACCCCACCCTATATGTGAAACCCACCTCCACACTTCAGGAACCCCAACCCTGTGGAAGGGGTCCCAGGTGAACCTGCATTCTGTGCTTTCTTGGCATCCTGGAGTCCATTGATATGGTAGCATGTCAGGATATTCATAACAGTAAAAGTAGTAAAATAAAAATAGAAGCTTCCATTTCTTGTGTGCTGCCATTTTCTCATTTAATCAGCAGAAAAACCCCAGGTGATGTTATTAATAATTTGTTTAAAGATTTTATTTATTTGAGAAGGAGAGCGAGAGAGAGAGAGAGAGCACAAGCAGGGGTGAGGGGCAGAGGCAGAGGGAGAAGCAGACTCCCCGCTGAGCGTAGAGCCTGACAGGGCTCCATCCCAGGACCCTGAGATCATGACCTGAGTTGAAAGCAGATGCTTAACTGACTGAGCCCCCCAGATGCCCCTCAAGTGATGTTGCTATTTCCATGTTACAGGTAAGGAAACAAGCTGAGAGGAATAATCCTATGCCTAAGGTCACAGAGTGACAGGCTGGATCCTCAGGAAGGGCTAAGAAAGGTAATAGTCAGGACTGAGAGCAGGGAGCCGGGCTGCCCCTGACTTTGTGTCCTTGCTTGTAACCCACATTAACCATATACCATGGGGGAGGGGAGGTTCTGACAAATGAGAAGCCATGTGTAAAGCACTTAGCATGTAAGTATCTAGGAGAGAACTACTGCTATTATTACCGTGATTATCGTATGACAATGTCATGATAGTGTCGTGATTATGATACGAATGGACATCAAAGAGCAAAGACTGAGTTTCCAAAGGGAACAGAGGTGGAGAACCAGGACTTGCAAAATGAACCCCGTCCTCCCCAATTGCATCTTTGCCCCAGGGTGGGGGCCTTCTCGGTTGTAATTTTACACCGATGTCCACACCCTGCTGGAAAGAAAGAGAAACAAATTCTAAGCCTGAATATTTGTTCTGCCTCCAAAGAGGAGCTGGTTCTTTCAGCAGCAACTGGAGAGGTGGGAAGGCTCTGCTCCCCTACCCCCCGCCCCAGCCCCAGCTGCAGAGGTCCCCAGGCCATGTGGGTGGGTGCTGGGGGCCATGTAGGCAGGCTGCTCGGAGAAAGACCCCGCTCTCCCACTCCCCCACCCACTAAGGTGGAGCCCAGAATGGACAGAGCGACATTTGTGAAAGCCTGTCTTTCCTGGACTCACACAATGGACTCCATGACTGATTTTATCGACATTCCCTAAGTGGCTGCTTCCTTGAGTGCGTAAGCATCTCATGTCCGTGAGTTATCTTTTTTGATTTTTGCAAGAACTCTGTGAGCTTGGTGCTGTTATTATCATCCCCGTGTTACAAACAGGGTAACTGAGGCCGCAAAAAAAAATCAGGTCACTCGCTCAGGTCCCTTTGGGATTCGGTGTCAGAGTCTGGATTCAAACCCTGGTTTATCCAACTCCAGAGGTCAGTTCTGAGTCTCTGAGCGCTCAGTCCCTCAGAGGCCGCAGTCCTGACGGCCAGAAGCAGTTTGCCTCATACTGCTAAAGGAATGAAGGCGGTGGCCACCATTCACTGGACATTTGTGTGTTGTTCATTCAGCAGGGGTGGGGAAACAGGGTCTGCTGCAGGCCTCGATTCCCTCCCTCTAGGCCTTCCCAGCCCAAGGTGGACCTCACCCAGAGCATGCCCAGCCCCCCACCCCACCCTCTCCAGTCTTGCTAGAATCACCAAAAAAAAAAAAAAAGTTTGCAAATGACTGGCTCTTTTCCTCCACCCAGTTTGGCTGGCTTCTTTGGAAGATTTATGTATGGGCCTGGTTTGTTTTTTTTAAAAAGTGCAGACAAATGCCACAGAGCACTTTTCTGCTAAAGAAAACCCTGTCTAGCCACTGCTCACCTGGCAAACCTAGACTGCCTTCCAACTGGAACAGAACTGCCTTTGTGGCCGGCAGGACGGCTGACAAAGCCTTTTCCATCCTTATCTCGTGGACTCCCCTCTCCCCCAATTCCCTGCACGCCAGGATTAGACTTATTACTCTCAGAGCACTCAAGGACAGGGACTATTTATCTTTATCTCAGGGTTTAAAAGAGTTGAGAGACATTTGTGACCACTCACTGAATTGCCAGGGAGGAGGGACCTGCTCACGGTCACACAGTTAGCATCAGACGTGGGTTGAGCATTAGGTCTTCTGGCTCGAAAACCCAAGTGCTAGTGCGCCTTTTGGATACTCAAGGATGTTTATTGCAGCACTGTTTATAACAGCCCAAATGTTGCTCACTGCTGGGTCCCTCACATGCACTGTAGCCTTGCTTCTCCAAGTGTAGTCCCTCCGGCAGCTTGGTCAGCACCTGGGCATGCACAGAATCTCAGGCGCCACCCCAGACCCACTGAATCAGGACCTTCAGGTTAACAAGATCCCCAGGGGGATTCATATGCTCATTACATCCGGCAAGTACTGCGTTACAGTATGTCCATCAGATTACCTCAGTACTTTTTACGAAAGAGTGTGATGGATCTACCTAGGCTGATATGAAAAGATCTCAAAATGTATTGTTTAGGGGGAAAAAAAGAAAAGCAAGTTACAGGGGTGCTTTGGTGGCTCAGTCAGTTAAGCGTCTGCCTTCAGCTCAGGTCATGATCCCAGGGTCCTGGGATCGAGCCCCACATCGGGCTCCCTGCTCAGCGGGAAGCCTGCTTCTCCCTCTCCCTTTGCTGCTCCCCCAGCTTGTGCTGTCTCTCTTCTTCTCTGTCAATTAAATAAATAAAATCTTTAAAAGAAAAAGGAAAGCAAGTTACAGACCAACATGAATTTGTACAATCCAATTTGTGTATACATTTTTAAAATAAAAATAACACTACTATGTGATAATACATGCACGGGGCTAATCACCCCAGGCAGCATCGCGGGATACCAGTCTAGAAGGGGAGCCCAAGTCGCACTGGACTAGATCAAAACATGGTGCCAGTTAACTCGGGTTTCCGCCTGGGGCAGCCATGTTGTAACCAGTGATCAGAGAGAAAGAGCATCCTCTGGGGGAAATTAGAACATTCTCTATCCAGCACTAGGGGCAACTCTTGGCTTTGCCACTAAGCCAGAGCCCAGCTAGATGACAGTTCTCCCAAGTCCTTGGTCATGTCAGCTTATCCTTGGTCAGAGCTGTGTGCTGCCCTGAGACCCCGCGGTTTGTGACTCTGTCACCTGCATCACGTGCCCTTTAATGCAGGCACCAAGGAGCAGACTGCTTGGACAACTACAATTCCAGGATAATTCCAAATAAGTTAAAAGGTCTGGTTTCATTCTGTGCATGTAATAAATCCTTTATTTTGAAAAGAAAGAGGAACGATATATTTTATTAACAGAAAAATCAGTTTCTGCACATCCTGCCTAGGTAAATTTTGGACAACTGTTTTTAAAATATCAAAATATCAAGTTGAGGGGATGCCAGATTATTTGGCTGGCCAGGGCACCTCTGAGTCTCAGCTGGATTCTGTATGTGGATAAAGAAAACAAAGAATGCTGGAAGGATTTATAGGAGACAGTTAACCAGGCAATCACTAGGAGGTGGTATTATAAGAACTTTTACTTTCTGCCTGAAGGATTTTCTTTCTACCTTAAATGCATCTCTAATGTTTTGAAACAGACATTATCGGTGGGAATGTAAAATGGCACGGCCACTTTGGAAAGCAGTTTCTTTAAAAAAGTTAAACCTATACCCACCATGTGATCCAGCCATTCCACACCTAGGTAATTAACCAAGGGAAATAAAAGCATGTGTCTGTAAAAAGACTTGTACTTGGATGTTCATACCAGTTTCGTTTAACAAAAACTAGACACAACCCAAAGGTCCATTAACAGGTAAACGGATGAACCGAGCGTCCTGCGTCTGCACAATGGATTTGTTCGCGCTCAGCAATAAAAAGGAAGGACCTCCGGATATACCTGGCAACATAGCTGAATCTCAAACTAATTACGCTAAGTGAAGGGAGCCAGACGAAAAAAGAATACATACTGTGTGATTCCACTTCCATAAAATTCTACAAAATGCAAACGAATTATAATGACAGAGAGCAGATCAGTGTGTGCTTGGGCCATCGGGAGTAGGTGAGGAGAGATGGGAGGGAGAGATTACAAAAGAGGATGAGGAAACTTTTAGGAGTGATCGATATCTTCCCCATTTTGACTGTAGTCATAGTTTCATTAATATAAAAAAGCAGGCAGGAGCCTGCTTCTCCCTCTGCCCCTCCCCCCTGCTCATACTTTCTCTCTGTCTGACAAATAAATAAATAAACAAAATCTTAAAAAAAAAGAAAGAAGAGAGAGGGGCGCCTGCGTGGCTCAGTCGGTTAAACATCTGCTGTCAGCTTCCATAGGGCTCCCTGCTCAGCGGGGAGTCTGCTTCTCCCTCTCCCACTGCCCCTTCCCCCTGCTTGCGTACGCGCACGCGCTGTCTCTCAAATAAATGAAAATTTTTTTTTAAGATTTTATTTATTTATTTGACAGAGACACAGCGAGAGAGGGAACACAAGCAGGGGGAGTGGGAGAGGGAGAAGCAGGCTTCCTGTGGAGCAGGGAGCCCGATGTGGGCCTCGATATGGGGCTCGATCCCAGAACCCTGGGACCATGACCTGAACCTTCTGGGACCATGACCTGAGCCGAAGGCAGCTGCTTAACCCACTGAGCCACCCAGGGGCCCCAAATAAAATCTTAAAAAAAAAAAGGAGGGAGAAAGAAAAGAACAGAAAAGGAAAGTCTTTTATGGGCAGAAAAAAAGCAATAGGGATAAATCCAAAGGCACACCCACATAAAAATGTGTGCTTTCACCACGTTTGTCATCTAGTCTCCCCTGCCCATCACTGCAGAGAGTAACTGCAATGAATGTGCTCTTGTATTCGACTTAAGATGATCTGTTCCTTTCTCTCCCCTGTGTCCCCAACCAAGCATGAACTAGGTGGGATCCTGCTGAAATGGAGTCAGATAAGATTTCCTCACCACCCTTGCGCCATTATGGCCAGAGCTTCTCCCTGTGGAGGTTACAGGCTGTGAGGAATGTGATGACGTGTTTACTTTGGAGCGGACTTTGGACTGTAAATACGCTCTCAGCTTCTGATAGGAGATAGGCCCTTCCAAAATAGCTGGAGGTCAGTTCTCCCTCCAGAGGCCCTGGATAGGTCTTTAACTGAGGGGAGGGATGGGGTTAGCGCTCTCACAGAGCATTTTTCCTCGGTATCCCTAGAGCCTAAACTAGGAATGCGGTTGGCTACAGAAACCCATTGAGAAGTACACGAGAACAATTAGAACGTGATTGGCTGAGCTAAATGAGGTCTCAGAGGGGCCCCCGTTCTCCAGGTGTGAGAGGTTTGCACGTTTGTTGGCCTAGACGGTTGACCAGTTGTGTGATCCCAAGTTGGTTAGGACCCGAGGGAAGCCACTGGACTCAGTGGCTCTCCGAAATGCAAAACTTCTCTAGTAATGACTATGATAATCACAACAGAAACTGCCCCAGGTACTGAGCAAGTGTCTTATGTCTATTGTCACATGTAATCCTCACATACCTCTGTGGGACAGGAGCATCCTGACTGACTCCAGAGCATAACTCTGAACGGCGGCACCATACGGCCTCCCAGGAAGCTACGGGAGGTCCAAGCGTGACACAGATTCTGGACTCAGATACAGGTTCAAGTCCCTGTTCAGCCATTGATGAGTTGTGTGGGAACAATAGTAATGCCCACCTCCCACGGCTGTTCTGAAAGGCTCACGAAATAATGTAGGTAACGTGGGCTGTGCACACAGCAGCTGATCAAGCATGGTAGCTGTTGGGGCGCCTGGCTGGCTCAGTCAGTAGGGCATGCAACTCTTGATCTCAGGGTCGTGAGTTCGAGCCCCACATTGGGTGTGGAGCTTATTTAAAAAAAAAAAAAAAAGAACTGGTAGCTGTCCTCATTATTAGCATTATCATTGTCCAGAAAGATCTTCATCCAAAACTTCTTTCTCATTTGATCCTCCCAAGTCATAGTTGTGGACATTCCCCGTGGTTCACTCCCTCACATCCTCAAATCTGTACTCAAGCCCTGCTCTCTGTGAGGCCTTCCCTGGCACCCTATACACATTGAAACTCCCTCATCTCTCCCTTGGCAACTCCCTACCTTCCTTTTCTGTCTTATTCTCCTTGGTACAGATCACCTTCAAGCATATAGTGTATCACCTACATACACTATATAACTTATTTATTTATATTCTTTCCAAATAATTCATGAAGACGCCACTGTCTAGAACATGCCTGGCATGGAGCAGGTGCTCAGTAAATATTTGATGTTGAGTGAATGAATGAACCCTTGCTTGAGGTTTTAAATTGGAGTTCAGGTTCAGCTTCTCTTCAGTCTTGTAACATTAATCAAGGTATTCAGCTTCCAGGAGCCTCATTTTCCTCAGTGGTTAGAAAGGGCCATAACATCTGTGCTCCCCAGGGCACTGGCAGAGCCTAAGGGAAGGGTAAGGCCATGTATGGGAAGGAATCGGCTCCAAATGATCCAGAAACAGTTACTGAGCATCTGCTCCATGTCAGGCAGGATGCCAGGCTCTGAGGGGTGCAGACATGCATCCCAAAGCCCCTGCCCTCCAGGAACCTGTGATCTAGCAGTGCAGACAGGTCAACAAATACTTACAACCTCATTGGGTAACAGCTCTAATCCATAGCAGCCACTCATCAAGCTAAGCACTTTGCATTAATTGTCTCAGGTAACTCTATGAGTTCGGTACTACCACCAGCCTCATTTTATAGACAAGGAAACTGCAACAAGAAGTTAAGAAGCGAGGGCTTATTCCTCATCTAGGGATATACCCAAGAGAGATGAAAATGTGCACACAGTAACTTGCATGCAAATTTTATAGAAACATTATTCATTGGGGCTGAAAGGCAGACACAATTCAAATGTCTATTAATAAATGAATGGATAGGGCGCCTGGGTTGGTTAAGTGACTGCCTTGGGCTCAGGTCTGCTTCTCCCTCTGACCCTCCCCCCTCTCATGTGCTCTCTCTCATTCTCTCTCTCTCAAATAAATAAATAAAATCTTTTAAATAAATAAATAAATAAATAAATAAATAAATAAATAAATAAATAAATGGATAGGGTGCCTGGATGGCTCAGTTGATTAAGCGTCTGCCTTCGGCTTGGGTCATGATCTCAGGGGCCTGGGATCGAGTCCCACATCGGGCTCCCTGCTTGCAGGGACCCTGTTTCTCCCTCTCCTCCCTGCTTGTGTGCTCTCTCACTATCTCTCTCTCTCTCAAATAAATAAAATCTTTTTTTTAAACTTTTTTTTTTTAAGATTTTATTTATTTGAGAGAGAGAATGAGAGAGAGAGCGAGCACAAGAGGGGGTAGTGGGAGAGGGAGAAGCACACTCCCTGCCGAGCAGGGAGCCCGATACGGGACTCGAACCCGGGACTCCAGGATCATGACCTGAGCCGAAGGCAGACGCTTAATCAACTGAGCCACCCAGGCGCCCCTCAAATAAATAAAATCTTAAAAAAAAAAATAAATGAATGGATAAACAAAATGTGGTACATCCGTACAATGGAATATAATTCGCCATAAATAGGTACGAAATACCGACATGTGCTACAACTCGGATGAACCTCAAGAACATGCTCAGTGAAAGAAGCTAGACACAAAAGTTATATCCTCTATGGTTTATTTTATTTTTATTTTTTGTAAAGATTTTATTTATTTATTTGAAAGAGACACAGCAAGAGAGGGAACACAAGCAGGGAGAGTGGGAGAGGGAGAAGCAGGCTTCCCGTGGAGCAGGGAGCCCGATGCGGGGCTCGATCCCAGGACCCTGGGATCATGACCTGAGCCGAAGGCAGACGCTTAACGACTGAGCCACCCAGGTGCCCCTATGGTTTATTTTATATGATATAGCCATAATAGGCAAATCCTTAGAGACAGAAAGCAGATTTGAGGTTGCCAGGGAAGGACTGGGGAGGATGGGGGGTCACCACTTAACAGGCATGGGGTATATTGTGATGTGATGAAAAATTTTTGAAACCAGAGAGAGCCGGTTTTTGCACAACATCATTAACACCCTAAACACCACTGAATTGCGTGCTTTAAAAAGGTTTGTTGTATGTTGTGTGGCTTTCACCTCAATGCAAAAAGGAACAAGGACCGGCATTGTAAGTAGCAAAGGCTGACTGAGGACCAGAACCTGGGCCGTGCCTCAGAGCTTGCCTTTGACCTTAACCACTGCAGATCTCAATTTCAGCATCGTATCTTTCAGTTCTGGGACTTCTGTTCGATTCTTTTTTATATTTTCCAGTTTTCTGCTGAAATTCTTGTTATGCAATTTCCTGAATGTGTTCCTCCCAGTTATTAGAGTTGCACCTCGAGCCTGGGGGGTTTATCAAGGTACTACGACCACAGCGGGGGAGTGGGGAGGGGGGTGGACTCCGATTTTTGTGACCCCAGGCCTCGTGACACCAACATTCTGCCAGCTTTTCAGCCTCTTACCTGCTGTAGTCAGCACACTCCCTGAGGGCTTGAGGGGAAAGCAACTCCCAATTTCAGGCGCCTCTTTCTGGGCCTTTTCTAGGTGCTCCCAATGGGAAGGTCGACCTGATACTACGCACCTGCCAGGGGGACAAGCAGGAGGCACGGGACCCCCACCCCCACCCCACCCTCCTGTTGCTGCCCTTCTGCCAACACAGATACAGCCTTCAAAATTAGGGGGCGCCTGGGTGGCTCAGTCAGTTAAGTGTCTGACTCTTGATTTCGGCTCAGGTCATGATCTCAGGGTCATGAGATGAAGCCCCACATCAGGCTCCACGCTGGGTGTGGAGCCTGCTTAAGATTCTCTCTTCCTCTCCCTCTGCTCCTCGCCTCCCCACACCCTCTAAAAAAAAAAAGAAAAAATTAGGTGAAATCGCAATTTTCAAAGTTGTGTCATTTATTTACTTATTTGGGGGCTCTTTCTCTCTATTTCATTCCAAGACATACAACACAATTTAATTTCTGAGGGAAATGAATGAGAAAAGCTGCTATTTATTGAGTACTTCTGAAGGGCTTACTGTTTTAAGCATTTCACATGTATTGACTGACTTAGTTCTTATAAACAGCCTAAGAGCATGTTTTGCCATCTCCACTGCCATGGTTGAAGGAACAAAGGCCCAGAGAAGTAAAGACATTGGCCCAAGGACACACAGCTTCTACCACATGGAGCAAATACACA